GACCACCTATGGTGTATTTTTATATATAGAAAAAATGTCGAGAAAAAGCGTGGAACTTCTTTAAAAGCATTTTTTTCGGAATTTTTTGGTTTTCAGAAACGTAAACAAAGTCTAGAAACATGTTTCCTGTGAAACATCAGACCAGTTCTATTGAAGGTTTTGAAGGCTCAGGCATTTTCTCTGAACATATCAGTAGCTATACTTCATCAACTTAGATTGTATTCAATTAAATTGAATAATTTTTATTTTCTTCTACTCATGGAATACAACAACTTCCATGACACTATCCTCATAGAACGAAATCGTACTAACGACTCTGCCCTGATAACTAGAAAGATTTGCTGTTATACCGTCTACCAAAAATGAGACCATGGAATCGAAAGAGACATTATTATCGAAATGATAGATTTCCCATTTCTCTTTAAGGACATCTCTAGATATAGTCTTTTTCACAAATGTTGTGACTTCACACGAATAAGATTACTAGATGAATCATTGGGTATTAGAAAATATCGACTGCCCATCAGTGCTTCTTTATTTTTAAAAATCTATTCCAATGCCACGACGAAAAAATTGTGAACATCCGATAAAGCATGAGAAATCTGAATGTGTATCAAAAGGAGTAAAGACTGTGTCATCCGAACTATCGAAATTTTTGATCAGTCAGTATGATGTAGCTTACACCCGAATTAGCTGGTTATGTCCAAGAAGTCATACATTTGAATCGAAGAAAATGATGACTCATCAATCAAAGACGGTCAACGACAATGAAAGTTCAAGTGATGATGAATCAATTACACAAGGTTCTCATGTTAATGATGACAAAAATGATGATGATTCTGTCAATGTAGAATTCAATGATCTGAATGAAGAAGAGAAAGAGAATCCTCATATGGACAGTGGTATCATAGCTGAGTCAAATGATGATGATGAATCACCACGTGATGATGAAACAACTGATCCTGAATCAATGGATGAAGATAAATGTCATGCTTTCTATGAAATCGAACACCAAAAAGACAAAGCAATGGAAGAATTATCAAATGTATTCGAATTATTGAACATAGATCCGATCTATGACAGGTTAGCTTGTAAATTTAATTCGAATTTTCTGAAACGACATTTGTATTTAGATCATCAGTGTTGCCCATTCGAGCCAAAGTCAATGAGGTGTATAGAAAACTCAATCGGTTATGTGACATATTAGATGGCAAGTCTCAAGTTTCGCACGATCCGAACCCTCATGGGCTAATGATATGTGAATCAAATGAGTTTTTGGATGGTTTGAAAAAGTTATATGGTGATAGTGATGCTAATGAACAAGTTCGCTTAATGACAATTGCTCCAAAAAAGTGGGGTCGACAAAAAATCGAAAAATGGTGCGTATTTTATCCTCATATCGTTCAATATCTTCGCATTTTTTCAATAAAAAAAATGTTACTAAAAATTTCTTTCACTTATCAGGTTTGGGTCAAAGCCAAATCACGCTCGACGATCGCTCATTCTTCAAAAAAACAATGGAATTTTAGCTTATCCACAATGCCTACGGGGAAGTAATCGCTCTTTATCTGACTCAACAATTGATGCGGTGGTAAAGTTCTATCGAGAAGATGGTATCAGTCGGACTTCATCCAATTCCAAAGACACAATTAAAATCAACGGACAACCAGTAGCAATTCTGTTTTTAGAAATGACTGTCTTAGATGCCTACCAAATATTCAACGAACGTCATCCTGATACTGTTTCAAGGTCAACTTTCAATGCTCTTCATCCAAGAGAAGTGAAGACTGCAACACCACATGACACATCCATGTGTATTATTCACGAGAACATGGATCTGTTATTAAAGGTTTGTATCAGTTATTTATTAATGCGAATGTAACGTAGCTTGATTATAGACTTGGAACAATTACTACCCAGAATGTGCCGATATAGGTTCTTTCTCAACTAGTGACAAGGTCAATATAAAGGATCTGATCACTCAAATAGTTTGCACTATTTCGAACGAAAAGTGCTTTAATGGTGAATGTGATGCTTGTCCAGAAGAAAACATCGGAGATATTCTCATTGATAACATTATGTTGGATTTGGATGACGAATGTTCACGATTAATGTGCGTATGAAGCAAGAATGAAGACCATCTTTCCTCAATTTCCGTTAATAGAGAGGCAACCGAGCCAGACATCTGCTGAAGA